TTGCGCCGTTTTGATTGGCTGTTTTGGGATGACACTGATTGGCCGTTCTTGGGTGACACAACTCCCGCGCATGGGAGTTAATTAATCCCAGTGAGTGCTAAGGTTGTACACTGTTGTTCACTTAAAGTGCAACTTTAGCTTTCAAACCAAAATTGTGAACAGGAAGGTGCGTAGGCATGGTATGTCCCTTCTGCAATAAAAATAAATAAATTGTGTGAATAAGTGTATAAAGTGATTTTTCAGTTGTCTGTCCAGGATAGCAGGTGGAGGGGCAAATGCACACAAACCAATAAATAATCCCTTGTCAGTTGAGAATCGGCCTAAAAGCACTAGACCACTAATTCGGTTTCATTTAATTTTGTTGTATTTTTTTTGTTGTCTTTCAGGCTCCTCAAGGAAACCCACAGCAGCATTGCTGTATACGAGAAAGAAAGCTCCAAAACCAGCTTCTACGTGAAAGCCCTGATATTTGTAAAAGATGAGCCTGTTCAGCGACGACCTGCTGTTGGGGGACATGTCCCCCTTCAACCAGTCGTTTTTGGAGGCTGAGGAAAGTTTGGGTCTCTTGGATGACTGCATCGAGGTGTCCGGGTACCTCCCATTGCATGGGTTCTCCAGCGAAAAGGCTAAGAATGGCGTTTCCAAACTGCTGCCTCTGGCTGAACCCTTTGGCAGTTTCCGTGGTAAGAGCACTACTACGAACAATCCCTCCTGGGCCATGTATAAACCCTTACACTGCACTTTGTTGCATGTGGGTTGGGTCTTCAATCACAACCCTGGTTTCAGTTTACAGTAAAATGCCATCTACGTAACGTGTAGTTTGTATGGCAGCAAGAGAGAAGAGCCAACAAGTGGTCAATAACTGAAAACTGTTATCCAAGTGGGTAGAAAAAAAAGCAAGTTACCAGATGTAGCATTCAAATGGGGCAACTATAGTTGTGACTTGACTGCCTGAGTTATCCTGTGGCAGAGGGTTGCAGGTTTAACTGGAAACAAGTGTCTCAAAATGTATGTGCTGCCATTACCCTCTTCTGGGGATACTTGAAGCAGACAGGAATGCACTGATTATGTAAGACCATCTGAAATGTTGAGCATTAGCATGGTCCTTAAGGTTATGCCTATTGTGGTCCTGCTTGCTATTGAGTTTGGCAATTCAGAGAAATGTTTCTCATTAGGCCACTTCCCTGAAATTGTCTGGTTATAGCATTATATAGGGCCAGCTGAAGAGTTTGGGACTCCTCTTTTGACGCCTTAAGTATTTGCCTCTAACACTGTTATTAAGCAGTAACAAGGATATCTTGGCGCCATTAATCTGTTCCCCATAACTCTAGCTTTACTCATCAGGATGTCCCTGTATTTATAACTAAGCGATTTTAAGAACAAAGGGTCTTTCTGGCTGTTCTCATGGTGGTGGGCAGGTTTTGTACCCCATGTTCCCTTTTGACAGCAAATAAGGATGTAAAACTGTCCTTGCCAAAAGTGATAATCGACTTGTTCACTATAAAGTCAACCCTAATTTTATTTTCCATGTGCTCTGGCATACTAATGTATATGTTATTCCTGCGCAATCTGTTTTCAGTATCTTCCAGTTGTGCATCATGTACATTATACTCAATCTCTCATATCTGGCCAACAAGTTTGAGGGTCCCAAAATCATCCTCCATAACTGAGGGACAGTTTAATGAAGTGCCTACAGAGAGGAATGCAAACAGTTTCATGGTGGGAGAGACAGAGCAAGCATCTGATCACATGGTCTACAAATCCACACCTCCCACAAATGTAAATGATCCAATGGTTGCTTCCACAAACTAAAATAAAAAAATGTCCTGTGTAAACATTTACTAAAGGGTTTTAAAAGAAAAAGGGTTACAATGACTTGATGGGGAATTCAGGGGACCAGAACCTTTTTAATGCTTATTTCTAAATGGCTGATTTCTTAACAGGGGACGCCTTCTCCGGCATGGATTGGATGGTGGAAAAGATGGACCTGAAGGAGTTTGATTTTGATTCCCTGCTTGGGATGGAAGATCTAGAAGCCACCATCTCACCAGAAGAGCTATTGGCCACGTTGGAAGACTCTTGTGATTTCTTAGAGGACCCACCTCTCCCATCGGTGTTTGGCCACTATGTGCCATCACCTGCCACAGACTTTCTCCCAGAAAGTCCATCTGGGGCTGATCAAGTGGCTCCAGTGAGTCCCAGTGTAGAGTCCATTATCTCTAGCCCTGACCATTCCTTTATCTTGGATGTAGGAAGTGAGGTAGATGTTGCTGAGGAAGATAAGAAATCAGTAATTTACACTCTTGCAGTTCCAAAATGTGTGAAGGAAGATTCCTCAGATAATGACAGTGGTATTTGTATGAGCCCACTCCTGAAGTCTGAAAAGGAGGATTCCTCAGATAATGACAGTGAGATTTGTATGAGCCCATCATATCTGGGGTCTACCCAGCAAAGTCCCGCATTTACTGTAGAGTATCCTAGTAGTGCCCAGTCCTCTCCCGCATCCCCTAATTCTGAGAGACCCAAACCTTATGACCTTCCCTCTAAGTCTAAAGAAGTGTTGGCAAAAGTAAAATCTGTAGGGCAGCCAAGAGTAGACAAGAAGAAGAAGAAAATGGAGCAGAACAAAACAGCAGCCACTCGCTACCGGCAGAAGAAGAAAGCTGAACAAGACATAATATCTGGAGAGTGCCGTGCACTCGAACAGAAGAATGATTCCCTTAAAGAGAAGGCAGACTCCCTAGCAAAAGAGATCCAGTATTTAAAAGACCTATTAGAAGAAGTTCGCAAGGCCAAAAGCAAACGAGCAAAAAGTTCTTGAGCCAGGAGAAAGTTGGAGCGTTGTGTATGTTATAAATATATGTTACAGTTACATGGTTGTAAGAAAAGTAATGTCTACTCAATAAATTATTTTGTAGTTAAGGTCTAACCTGTGTGGCAGAGATTACTTTCTTGTGCTTAGTTGATTCCTGAGTAATTTGTACAGATGTGTGTGTGTCTGTGTTCTCTCTCATGTGGGTGGTCAGTAATTTTGAAAAGAAGCTGCTGGACTTTTATGCTATCCCTCTTGCACATACAGAATTACAGATCCTTAACACGTGTGCAGGTCAGGAAAGTTGCATTTACTCATTACTTAACTGCATGCTTTTCCAGGTTGGTAAGCTAGGCCGACAAGCAGCATTTTCTGAAATAAGCATTGGCAGCATCTGTGTTTTTTCTTTGACTGTTTTTCCTTTAAACTGAATGTACCATGACAATTAACTTTTTGTTTGGTCCCTTTATGCAGGGCCGGTGCTAGGATTCTAGGCAAGGTGTATTTATATAGTGCCTCAAAATTTTTTTGACATACTGCATTCACATCACACCTTTTGGTCTGTTAAATACCATTAAAAGGGTTTTGCTATACCTGGTATTTTCCCTACTTTTGGATAGTGGGCAAAAGATCAGGACCGATTTTTGTTTTTAATTTTTTTTTTTTTTTTCTTGCTGTCTTTTTTTTTTATGTTGGGAGGGGCCCTGTGACACTGGCAACAATTTGCCCTCCCTGGACATTACAAAATCTTATTGAGTTTTTATAATGGGGGAACATTTCACTGATTTTGGCCTGGGAAGAAAATATACACATCACAATGTGTAACTTTACAATGGTCTTACCCCAATGATATCCTGGTGACCACAAATTGACAGTAGGGCCGACATTTTAACTAACCACAGATGAGAAACCTCCCTGTTTGACAGTTGGGTTTCTCTCACTGTGGGTATTTTCCCTTACCCCCTCACGTCTCTGGGAGAGGAAAACATCCCGGTAAGAGCAGACCACTATGGGGAAACTGGTTTGAACCACGGTCATTGTCCATGCTGTATAAAACGTGTGGGCAAGCTCTTGCATTATAGTGCATGTCAAGCCAAAGCCAAAACATTTTTAGTTTTGGATATAGTGAAATGTTAAAACTAGGGATGCATTGATGCGGATGCCAGGATGTGTCAATACTGGGCATTTTCATGAGTGCTCATTAAAATACCCTTACACCGGCGCTTTACATTTTTAAACGGGCAGTGCTGCAAGGTCCTGTGCTTACTGGGGACCTCGTGGCAGCCTTGTGAGGACCTTTTGTGGAGCTGCTTACAGTGCCGGTCAGGCCGCACATCTCTTCCGTAGCTTCATAGTCTGCATTGCTGGGACTTGTAACCCCTCTACAGCTTGGAGTTTGTGGCAGAACTACAAGGGTCACAGCTGTGACTTGGCCCTGGCACTTTAACACTGTCCTAAAATAAGTCTCTATTGTTTTAGAAAACTGTTACATGACACCATAAAAAAAAAAAAAAGGGCAAGTACTTTAGGGAAAGTTTTTATAGGTGCATCCATAGGTAAAGCCCCTTCCAGGTTTGTATTGCTGTCGTCTGTGTACCTGTAGCTTTGCTCTCATGTCTGTCTCCAGCACAGAATGTGTTATGAAATCCAAAACTTTAGTCACAGGAAAAGGAGGTGAAGGGAAATCTTCCAAAGGACACACCTGCTTGGTGACAAATCTGTTGGGACTTAACCATTAGCTATTCCCAATATACTTACCAATGTTTCTGGTAAACTAGGCTGGAAGGAAAACTGTCAGGATTAACATGGGGCTGTTATTGCTGATCTTATTTTAATACTAACTGTTATGCTGTCAACCGTTCCAGAAGGTCAACTAGGACTAGCTCTGCATTTTATTTAATGTAGTAAAGTATTGTTTTAAAAATGTTGGCAATATATCTACTGCTAGTAAGCAGTAGATATATGCCCCAACATTTAAAAAAGTTGGCAACAGCCTTACCTGTGTCAGCGGCACTTGCTCCCAGCAGCAGAAGTCGGTGTGAAGAGGGAAGTGTGGGCAGGTGCATGTGCAGTCCAGTTTGTCAGAGGGGAGAGGAGAGCAATGCTTAAGCTGGATGGACGCAGCTGGGAGCGTGCACGTCTGACCGACACCATGGGACCCAAGGAGTCCGGTGGGTCAGAGACTGGCGCCACCACTGGAGGGATTGTGGCAAATGAGTGGAAGAAAGAAGCTGTTCGGATCAAGAGGCACCACATAAGGCAAAAGCCCCCCCAACTGTAAAAAAAAAAAAACATCCCCTGGAGGCGGGGCGCATGATGTTAAAACACGTGTGGGGGGTGCACATTTTTTTTGTTCTTTCCTCAGGTGCAAGGTGCAAATAGAGCTAGCTACGGTTCTGCCAGATTCTATTGCATCAATGCCACAGCTAAAATAAAATTGGCCCAAAACCATTATAGTTTTATCTCTGTGCATTTAAATGTTTTACTTTTGGCATATTATAATGTTCATTATTATCACTTATTCATTCCTATGGGTTTGCTTAACGTGTTACTGCATAAAAATAGTGCAGGATTATTTTTCCATCCAGCACTATGAGCAAAGCAGACATTTCATTTTTGACCATCCTTAATTATACTGCGCAGTGAAATGCCTAGGTTGTACTGCAAAAAAAAAGGCAGAGAGGTGAACCGGCCCTAAGGGAGAACTAGTCATGTTTGGACTTATTCCAATTTGAACATTTAGTCTTGAATGATTATAAAACTGCAGGCTTGCCCGAGACAGATTTATAGTTACTCATTTATTTAGTTTGTCTGGTGGTGACTCATTGGGCTAAGCTTCTAAGTTAGCAGGCCACCTGACATTTTATGCCCTGTCAACTGCCTAAGGCCATATTGATGATGCTTACTGTCTTTCAGCGGCTAAGTAACCATAACTGTATCAAACAGAGCGCTGTAGTTGTGTACATTCCTCTTAACTTCAGGACTCTACGTGATGCAGTCAAGAGACTGGTTAGGCAGCTGGCAGAGCAGTAATTGTCAAATGGCAGGTGACCTACGTTCATCTTCACACAGTAAATCTAAATGAAACTTTCATAGTTAGGGTCCCCACACACCTTCCGATTATCGTACGAGAATCGCGGGAAATCCCGCGATCGTACGATGATCGTAAGGTGTGTGGAAGCCGTGCGACCTCTACTACTGTAAGGTCGCACGACTTTAAACTTACGGACATGTTCGAAAACCCGCCGAGCATCGTACGATGTTCGGCGGGTTTGTTTCTAAGTTAGCAGGCCACCTGACATTTTATGCCCTGTCAACTGCCTAAGGCCATATTGATGATGCTTACTGTCTTTCAGCGGCTAAGTAACCATAACTGTATCAAACAGAGCGCTGTAGTTGTGTACATTCCTCTTAACTTCAGGACTCTACGTGATGCAGTCAAGAGACTGGTTAGGCAGCTGGCAGAGCAGTAATTGTCAAATGGCAGGTGACCTACGTTCATCTTCACACAGTAAATCTAAATGAAACTTTCATAGTTAGGGTCCCCACACACCTTCCGATTATCGTACGAGAATCGCGGGAAATCCCGCGATCGTACGATGATCGTAAGGTGTGTGGAAGCCGTGCGACCTCTACTACTGTAAGGTCGCACGACTTTAAACTTACGGACATGTTCGAAAACCCGCCGAGCATCGTACGATGTTCGGCGGGTTTGTGGCATGTCCGTACGATAACAGCCGCACGGGCCGGTGTGCTGGGGATCTGGGACTGTTCTTGCCTGGGACATCCTTTATAGCCCCTCTCTAATCGCTTCTATCCCCACTGCCATTCAGTAAAAATATCAGTACTTCTGGATATTGGGGAACGCGCCATTGTCAACAATACAAATTTATCGTCAGCTCGCAGTGACTGTGCCAGGATGGCAGTGGCGATCTATACAAACGGTAAGATAAGGAAAACCAAAAGGGGATGCCTAGGACGGTGTGGAGTGGGTAAGAGGTTTTTTTTTTAAATTTGTTTTTAAATCTTTAAGTGGACTTATCAACATAAAGAAACACAGATCGACGAACATAAATCAGTGGGGAATATGTCAGCATTACCAAATCATATAATGATTGTCTCTTTCCTGCCATGTGTAGAAAAACACTGCTCCCGAGTTCCCCCATGTGACCTAAAGCTTAGTGAGGATCATAAGAGCTCTATCTTGTGATGCTATCAGGAGCACTGTGTGTATTTAACATAATTAGAGACTACAGAGAGTCTATTGTTTTCAGCCAGAAAGACCTTCTAGTAGATCTGCAGTGACATTTTAGAGGATCAGTAAAGCACAACCAGGAGGCAGATTAGTAACATGGCTTTCTACATCTATAGTTATCTATAAAAACCAGACAATAATAATAATGAATTTATTTATTTCACATGCATATCTTAAAATCATGAAACATTAATAGGATCACTAACCAATAACTTAAGTTTTAATATTAATGTCCCACCCTTTTATATGCCTTAAACTGGCCATACACCTATAGATTATCTGCAGATTCTCCTCTTCCGTCCCCGGGCTCCGCCTCCTATCGATGGGCCACGCCTACTCTTACATCACTGGCCCCACCTGCTCTTAGATCGCTGGCCAGTTATGTGAGAGGAGGCGGGGTTGCTGTTAGGCGGGCCCCCGCCTCCTTCTTTACTGCAAACGCCGGTGTAACCAGCCTATTCTGCCGCATCTGCTGGCTGTCACTGACACAGCTCCGCAGCGGCTGTGAGGGGGAACGTTCTCCCTCACAGCTGCTGCTGAGCTATGTCAGTGACAGCCAGCACCCGAGACGCCATAGCGACCCAGTTGGCCCACACGGCATCAGAGGGATGCCCTGGCCGGGCCCCACTGTGCCCGGGCCCCATAGCGGCCGCCTAGGTCGCTATGGCGATTGTTACGCCACTGGTCAGATGGAAAAAGTGCAACAGATTCCTCCATCTACGCTAAACGGTGTGGATGGAGGAATCTCCTGCTGGGCCAAGCTTCAGTATCTTGCTAGTGGGCCCCGCTGGCTCTCAAAAT